GGCTCTCGTACCTCAAACCACCAATCACGACATATAACTCGCCATGTAACTGGGCGGTAAAACCCTGGAAACGACACAACTTATGCACAAAATGCATTTTAGAAATTTTAGAACTTACCTCATAATGCTGAGGGTTTACTCAAAAATTAAATTCATGACAGGACAACCAAAACGACGTTTAGAAAATCTGTAATAAGATAAGGTTGAACCAAAAGAGTAAAAATGTGATGAAGATCAAACTTACCACAAAAATACCCATGAAAACTTAAAATTGATTCCTTCCCCAAATGCCAGGAACCACTAAGACTACATTCCAAAAGTTAATAGAATTAAAAAGTTTAAACTTTTTCGGATGACTTCAGATAAGTATGTCGATGTTTACGCCACGAAATCTGAATCAAAAATGGTGACTTCCGATGGTCAAAAAGATGCTCTAGTTCTGCGCCGACAAGGGCAAGTACGATCCCCAGAGTGTCCGAAATTAGTCAGAACTAATTCGGTAGGGTGTATGTTGGGTTGCCAATAGTATCGTTTTATTAAAACGTTACAATGCAATAGAGAAAGAGGGATTTTTATTATATTAAGTTCTTGCTCATGCTCATATTACTACGTCCTGAATTTCACATACTTCTTTTATTTCTTCACTTCTCTTCAGATCTTATAAGTTATAGGTATCCTGCAATTGATCAGTGCACTTGATAAGTTAGATCATAATAATTTGAGTAAATACATGTTTTTTTAAGTAACTGAAATTTAAATTGAGAATATCAGTCTTTCGGTTGAATTTTTTTTAGTTTGTTTTCATAATAAAACAATATTATTCGGATTAGATTATGAGAACGAGTATGCAATAATTGAAACGGAACAAAACAATACACTAGGTTAATATAACAGTTGAAATCGAGCAACCATTGTATTTGCATATAATATAGAGGTATTGCCACTAATTAACGCAAGAATAGTTGATCTTATTAAGTATAAGTAAATATGCATTAATTACCCAATATTATTATTCTGCAGGAAGAGAAAACAATCAATTTAGTATACCTCTATGGGAATATTGCTACTAGGATAAATGCAGGATGCAAAAATTCATTGCGTCTGAAATACACCAAGATAATGAAATACAGTCTTCATATTTTGTACATGTGGCGTGGTCAAGTCATCATTAGATATATTCGAGTTTTGCAGTTGTTTGTTTTAATAATTACATGTTAAACAATCGTTAAAAAATATTATGCGAGTTTTTATCGCAATTCTTGACATTTAAATTGCATCAGGTTTATATTTCTTTGGTTTTCAGGTAAGTTTGATTAGGAATCTCCCAAAATGTATTTGTATATTTTCGTAATTATAAGAAATGGTTTTAAACTTTGCTTTTTGAAGGTTTAATTTACACTATTCGGACCTATTTTTTGTGTTTTACAGAAATTTGGTAAACGAATATTATATTTTAGTATTACGAATCTTATCAAAAAAAAAAAGTTTTCTGTTACAACAGCTGAATTGAATGGTCAAAGTTACAGAATCATTATCTCTTTTACAAACTGACATAAACACTACAATAGTTAGCTAGGATTACAAATTAGCCCTAGTAAACTAGGGGCATTTCGAAGTCATGCTCAGTTTCATATTAGTCTTGCTATTTTATTCTTTCCAGATATGTCTGTTACCTGGATTTTTCTATCTTATCTAATCTCTTTTGTCCCTCTTTGAGAAAAAGAGAGAGAAAATTAAAAATAAATATTTGTATATTAGATAATACTAAAAACGGTAACAATAGTTGTCAACAATATTACTAGAATAACAGGTAGATAAGATGTAAGATCCGGTAACCAAATTAATATATTGAGTTAACAACACTGAATACTGATACTTCATAAAAGCATATCCAAAAAATGCTCGTAGAATAGGTAGAAATGGAAGTAATTCTCTAAATAATCGAAAAATTGCAGAGAAAGATTGTATTCTACATGTTGAAAGAAGCAACAAGGCGTGAAGAATTGTATCAGCGATTTACAGCAACTGCCTACAACCAGGAGGACTACAACAGAACATCACAAATATAATACTGATTCATAAGAAAAGCATACCGACACCAAGAATTAGAAATCCTAATATATAAACCTAGTATCGTGAAATAGTTACATAGTTCATTACTAACAAAAAACGGAACCCATAAAATGTTAGACAGTTTTCAACAATGTGGTAGACAATGATTCAGTATTAAAACTAAAAGAATTTCGAACTTACATTGTCTTTATATCTTTTGCTTACACAACGTTTCAGTCAGAAGTATCACTGACCGTTATCAAGTCTGAACTAATCTAAATCCTAAATTACTGACCTTATATACTAGAACCCGTTAATCAGTTGGATGCATTGGAGCGTTTTATGAGTGATTGCCATATTGTGGAAAATTCCATACTTGCATTGCTAAAGATTTTAGCATTGTTAGAAATGAATACGGCCTCTTTAAATTTGTGCTTTTTTCAATAGGGTTCTTTGTGGACAACCTGGGCTTCCGACCATTTCATGACGTATTGCTTGGACCACACATGACCTGCAATGCCCGACTTCATTGTCTCTTTGCGTATGTTTTTATGTTCGTCAAGTCGTACATATATATGTAGAACGTTTTGTCTCTTCAATATACGACTCACCGTACCCGCAAGGTACTTGGGAGATACACCCTTTTTCTTGGTTTGATGATTCCGGTTTTGTTTTTGTTAGGATACTTCTTAGAGTAGTCCCAGACTTGTAGAATGTAGAATGCTTAGGAAGGGAGTTAGACACCGCGACCTTAAAGATCTATTGTGTGTTCCACTTTCTTGAGTTATAACGAGTTATAACTCATCATACAGTCTCAAGGCTTTAACAAAAGCCAGTATCTGAGACGGCTCCACAGAGGCCAGCTCTCCATCCTTGACATCAGCCATACCAAAGTTCATGGCACGAATGAATGGTCGTCGTCTCGGCGCACTCAGTGATGAGGTGTTCTGGTGTTTCCCCATATTCCCCACAGAATCTGCATTAGCCGTTGTTTCTCAGCTTCAGCCTACTGAGGTGTTCGTTGAGGAGACAGTGTCCTGTTAGAAACCCCGTGACAATCCGGAGATTGTTTTTACTTAAATCAAGGAAAACCTTTGATTTTTCTCGGTCGTAGGTTCTGAGGAACTTTTTCGAGTGTCTTAGACCATTGGAGGACACCCATTCAAAGTTGCGGTTGGAGTCTTTCAGATGGTCCAGTTAGTGGAGTGTTCGCTCCTTTCCTAGCTAGATCATTTGCTTTTTCATTGCCTTCTATCCCTTGGTGAGCAGGCACCCAGAGTAGGAGGACTTTATTTTCTTTGACCAACTTGTTGAGCTTCTCTAGGCATTCTTTGACCAACTTCGAATCGATGGTTACTGAGTTGATCGCGTTTAGAGCTGCATGACTATCGGATAGGATGGCAATTTTCTGTTTTCAATAGTTCCTATCTAAGATAAATTGTACACATCTTTCGATAGCGTAAATTTCTGCTTGAAGGATACTGGGGTAGGTGCCCATTGGTTCGGAGTATTTGGTTTTCGGCCCAAATACTCCTATCCCTGTCCTTGCTTTGGTTTGGTTGTGGAAGCATCAGTATACCGTTATGGTATGGTCTTTTATATGCTGAGTAAGCGTTTCTTCCTTCCAATCATTTTTATTACTCAATACTACAGTGAGATGTTTCTCAAAGTTGTAAATTCTTGGTGTTATGGGAGTTGGAGAAGTGAAATTTTCTTTTTGAGGGTGTTCCAAGCCCCTGACCTAAAAATTCTCCCAGTACTGTTTCCGTCAATGACCATTCTAATCATTGTCGTATTGGCATAACTACCAACGACAATGTGCAGTGGTGTTAGGTCTAAAATGACCTTCATTGATGCTGTTGGACATTTTCTCATGGCACCTGCGATACAGATGCAGTCCCAGAGTTAAAAACAGTTTTAATTTAATATTGCTTGGATATTCGCCTGATCTTCTTTGATGTTCCTTTCATATATGGAACCGTTAAGAGAAAGAAAGCATCCTCCTTAGGCTGAAGCACCAATGAGTCTTGTAATTGGGTATAATATTGTCTAGGGACTTTTTAGAGTAACTATTCTGAAGCAAATCGGTTTTAATATTACTTAGTTCAGAATAGAGATTCTTGGTTAGAGACTCTCGTTAGCTTTATGACATAATGCCTTAACTATCCCTTTTTTGATTGCTTCAGAATGGTTCGACTGAGAATTTAAACATTGTCCCATATGTGTGGGTCTTCTATATTCAGAAGTGATAATGTATCCATTGCTTCCACTGACAAGAACATCCAGAAATTATAGACAGAAGTTTTTCTCTTTCTCAATCGTGAATCAGATTGAATTGTGAATCTGATAAACACTTTAGTTTTGCACGGGACGCACAACGCTGGATGCTAACATGGTTAGGTTAGATAAGTGTTTTGCTGTAATGTGATGCAATGTTTTATTTTGATGGTTGTAACACCAAAGGTTTCAACCACCAACTGTAATTCCATTTCTTTGCTTGTGGGAATGTCTGAAAATCTGTTATAAATTTGCATTGTTCTGTTGCACTTCGATAGTATTTTCTTTTGAGCATCAAGTTAAAGAAATTTAATTTTGCTCTAGTTTCGTACATTGGAATGTTTCAATTTTTTAAATGTTATGTCAATTATCTATATGTAATAGTATCTTTTGCTAAAGTATAGGACATCTAGCATAATCAGTTATTAGTGGTCACAAGTAGATACAATATAAAATTCTGAACAACGGAATGGTAAAGATATTCTATATTGTGATGTACCTCATTACTAGCAATTATTTGAAAAATCAGAAGAAATATTATAATGGAGATTAAATCACTGCTCCTACTAATTTCGTTACCCAACATTTCTCGCTGTACCCCCTTAAAAACCAGTACACTATGCATATTTACACAGTTCCACTTTCTTTATTCTCTCTCTAGCGTAATACCTATCTTTTTCTCGTTCTGCGATCCAGTTCGTGTCGCTGTTTTACGGTTCTTAATAATTCGCCTCATAATCATTTCGTCTATCTCTTTTGCTTTTTACCTGCATCTCAGGTAATAGAATAAGTTTGCGGCGCGCTACCGGTTACCGTCGACGTGTTTCTGACTGGTTTCGGCTCTTTTTTTCAGTTTTCTTTCGCCAAACCTTCAGTTTTGGGGACGAATCTTCATTTAATCGAAGTGTCGAATAGGTAAAAGCAGAAATCTGCAAAGAGTTTGAAAGGGAAGTTGAAGATGATAAGTCTCCTGTTGCTGATTTTTCCGGTCCTTGCGACGTTGTTGACTGGTAAGTTGAAATAGGTGTGGGTGGTGGATCTCTGAATTGTGTATACTTAATCAATAAAAATAATAGAATAGCTTCCAATGTCCAAGTTTGCTCTACAGTATGTCCCTGGATTGTCTTTACAAGAGGAAAAACTTTTTTCTTATTAACATTTTGAGAAAAATGCATTCTTCATAAAAGAATTTACTTGTTCTAGAATGGTTAATCCCGTTAACACTTTTCTAAATTTCCATACCATTTTAGAGAAAATTACAAGAAGCATGAAAAATTGCTTGAATTTTTAAGTCCTAAAAATTAAAAGGCGTTTTTATCGTAATACAATTTCGTTTCATTGATAGATAGTTATTATTTATTTTGATCGACGTCATATTTTTGCTGTTGTTAAAGTATCACATTTTCCGATAACTATTATCATCCTATCAAAAAATAAACTCGAACTTAACCCGTATAACCATAAAAACGCCTTTTAATTTTTAGGACTTCAAAGGAAATAATTTATGTTTATTTTCATGTTTTTTGTAATTTTCTCTAAAACGGTATGGAAATTTGAAAAAGTATAAACGGGATAAACCATTTTCGAACAAGCAAAGCCTGTCCTTATCAGAAGCAAAAAACAAAAACCAAAAAAGTGTAATTATTCCATTACCCCTCTCGTAGATTCGCCCTGACTTCAAGTGCTTAACTGTATTATTGTTCTGGACTGTGCACTTTAAATCTTATTTTTAAAAGAACATTTTATACTTAAAATGCATTATTTACATAAAAAGATGCATTTGTAAGTGAATTGAACCAACGTTATGTTAGAGGTCACAATTTTAGACAGGGTTCTCGTATCTGAATAGGTGTCGATTTTTTTAAAGTCTAAAACATTTAGTTTCAGAAGCATTCGCTTTTGAGTTTTATTTCTTCTTCACTGCCCCCACCTTACATCAATTTTAGTATAAATATGTTCCAACTCAACCGATTTTTTTTTTGGAAAATAGTCCTAGTATTTACTACATTTTTTGTCTCTTGTCAAAATATGCCACCGCGTATACTTTTTGAGAAAAAAAAATCCCGAAGCTGATTTCCAAAAAATGTTTTATTATTGAGGAATATTTACACTAAAATTTATTATTATTTTTTTTTGTAGGGGTGGGGGTATTTTTCACCCTCGTACATTCTCTTGTTAAAGCACTTAGCAAAACGTAGAGACTCAAAATCTCATTAAAATCGGAATAACGGTTCTTAAAAGATATTAAAATTTTTTTTTAAGTTTTATGCGCTCTAGCGGACGAACGAAGTATTTTTGTATAGAGCTAAATTGTGTCCAATGAACTAGGTTAGGTTGTTGGGGTTTTGGATCATATTTGATTCCTCACTCGACCCATTGCGATACCCTTGTATTGTTTTACTAAACCTTCCTCTCATTCTTTCTTTGAGTTAAAGCACTTCCTGCTCTTTGCAAAGTTCCCGATGTCGCTGATGTTGGCTTCTGCTGCTTCCTCTAGTCCCTCCAAAAAACCTTGCCCTAAAGTTTTAAAGCGTCGGTATTCCAGTACCGGACAGTGGCACAGCAGGGCTCTATGGTTTCTTCTTCCTCTCCGCATTCTCTGCAGTAGTCGTCGTCAGAAATTTTCCATCTCACGAGGTTTCCCCCGCGGGACAGTTTCCAGTGACGACACCTACAGTTATGCGTACTAGGTCCTTTTTGTGCTCTTGTAGTTGTTTTGTCTTTTTGCTATCTACCCCTGGCCATAGTCTTCGAGCTGTAGCGCAGTCCTCACGGTGTTGCCACGTCTCTTGCTGCTTGGCTTTGATGGCAGTTCCTATAGCCTCCTTCAGTGTGTTGATCTTCACAAGTGGTGGGTCGTCTGCCACGGCCTCTACCCTGGCCCCGTCTTTGGCGAGTCTGCTTGCTTCCTGATTGCCCACCACATTGCTGTGGCCTGGCACCCAGCACAGAGTAGCCCCGCCCCAAACCAAACCAAACCAAACCAGGACAGTGCTTCTCGGCATTCCATCACGATTTTTGATCTCACTGATTGCATGGTGATGCTTCTTAAAGCGGCCAAGCTGTCAGAGTATATCACTATATCCCTTATTGGTCTATCAGCAATTTTCTCTCGTATACAACTAGTCGCTTCCTTTATGGCGTAAACCTCTGCTTGTAAAACATTACAGCCATCCGATAGCCTTAAAGATCGTCGGATGTCTAGTTCCTCTGAGAAGCATCTGTGTAGACTGCTATCTCTTTGTGCAATGAACTAACTTTGATTCCAAAAATACTTCTATGTCCGCGGAATATTGGGACACCCTGTATATTACTGGCAGAAATAATACATATATTTGCTTCTTAGTAATACATATAGTAATCATATTGATCGAAATGTTATCTGCTCGTTCAAATAAAAAAAATAAGTTTTCAAACTCGAGACCTGATATATTTTAGTAAAAGTAAGCAATTCTGCATATACAGGGTGAGTCCTAAATAAGTGCAAATATTTTCAGGGCTGGTAGGTCTCGATAAAAAAAAAACATATTTTCTCTTTAACATTTTTCAGAGAAGTCCAAAATAACCGAGTTATTTAAGTTTGAAAATTTTAAAAAAATTGATTTTTTCTGAAAAAATTGTGAGAGCCACCGGATTTTTTCTGTATTTCCATCCCTTTTTCTGCAGTAACCATAGAGTAAAACCGTAACTATGGTAATATTTGCGGTGAACGGGCAGTTCTAAAAAATTTTCGAAAAATATACAGGGAAATTTAAAAGAAAATGCACGATTTTCAACTTCTTTTTTTAGCGAAAAAACTCATAGACGTGTTCCTGTTCCTGGGGTCGATAAATACCACCCCTAAAAATATTTGCACTTATTTAAGACTCACACTGTCTATAATAATAAGCATAATAATAAATACTTAATTTGCATAAGTCACTATTGGATATGACTGTTACAAGTACAGTACAGCAAGTACTTTACCAGTACTGTTTAAAAGTTAGGTACTGGCTAAAAGTTACGCGATATTAGACAATGCGACTATTTGAACGGGTAAACATCTGAAAAACTCTGTCGTATACTGTTTTAAAACAAGACTAAAGACTCTAAGAGGCGTACAGTACATTCACGTCGGCTTAGCTAGAATCTAAATCAAATAAAACGACTTCTGCTCACGAGATATTTGATTTTATCCAGCGTCTACACACGACTCACTATTCGCTGATTCGGCCTGTCGATGTCGATTCGGTTCATCGACAGAATGTCGGTTTTTAACCGAACCTGCAAAAGAAATATCACGAACAGAATGGACGAATCTCCAAACGAACCAACGGATCGCATCGACGAACCGAATGAGCGAATAATGAGTATGGGGCTTTAGACGCCGGATAGGATAGAACATCTTTTGAGTTGGAGTCCTTTTGTATGATTTAGATTCTAGTTAAATCGGTAAGTTATTACATGACTGAGAAACGGCGGGCTCGCAATCCGCCTAAACAAAGTCGACCCAGTCAAGATTAGCCCTGGCAGAAAAAACGAAGACGTAAACTTAAAATACTTTTACTTTTCAATTAATAACAACAGTTTATAAGACCTTTAACTCTGATTTGAAAAAAAAAATACGGTAATTCTGTTAGAGCTATAAATAAATACTTTTTTGTCATACGCTCCCAAAAACAGCTATTTTACGGACTCATTTCAGTCCGTAAAATGTTTCTTTTTCGGCCTAGGCCGTAAAGGTCGTCATGGCAACCTTTATGGACTAAAATGTCTAAATTGTTGATGAATTTGTGTGATTTTGTGACAAATTTCGAATGACATGTCAAAATGCGATGAAATAAACAAACTCGTTACTAAGATATGAATTTATAAGCCAACTTTTTCAAACATTATAATTTCAAATATGGAAAATTTGCAAATATGCGTTCTAAAAAACTGTAAAAAGCGTATGACAAAAAATAGTGTATGTAACACGTACCTAAATTATGTTTTTTAGGACTCATCTACTATTTCGGACTCGGCTAACGCCTCGTCCGCAAACAGTAATGATTCGTCCTAAAAAACATCATTTTAGGTACTAGTTACATAAATAGCTATTACTCTTTTGTTAAATGAAACGTTTATGGAGTTCGTGAAAAATCAATGCCCCGTAGTTAAGAAATCTTAGAAAATGTCAAGCTGGCTGGTTCTGTAAAAAAAGCTACAAAAGCTTTTATAGAAACTTGAATTACGTGATGACATTCCCATTGCTTTGATATTGTTACAACCGTTAATGTCGCGGTTTAGCATAGTTTATTTATTTTTATTAGAAAGGCCACTGTCAACAAACTGATGAACTGAACGAAAAAAGTTAATACAGAAACATATAATAATATGTTTCTGATATTACTTTTTTGATATAGATTTTTATAGCTGATACTTACTAGCTTTGCGCTGCATATACAACAAAATAAACGAATTTCGAAACGAACCAGCAAATTGCATCGGTGAACCGCATCGACGCATCGTATCGAGGACATGTAGGATACATTAAAATACACAACCAACCGTCCAATCAGATGAAAGAGGTACGTACCCTATCGTTGGGTATTGTGCAATCACGTGATGCTCATGTCGTATGACGGTTAAATCTTTGGTTAGAATTTTTGTTGTTGTTTTTACCTGTTTTTACAGTTTTTACTTTATTTTTCTATTTACATCAGATTTATATTTTGTAATTGCCTATCAGACAATACGTATTTAGAAAAATAATAAGAATTAGGATCGTGTTTTTTTTTAAATCCTGGATATTAATTGGAACCCTTGATAACATTACTGCTTTTGATATAAAAAGTGCATTTTTGATTATTTACTTGGGCTAGGATATTAAAATATCGGTTGGATTGTACGACATAAATAGATGTAGGTATGATTATTTATATATATGTATGTATTTATAAAGCTTACTATCTGATTTGCATTTTCAGTTTTTGATCAGATATTTCATTTTATTTGTGAAATGCCCACAAAAAAGCTTCCAATGATTCAA